CAGTAAATATTGTCAACCAAAAAAGTGTCAAACTCTTTAAAACATTTAAAGAGGTTTATTCTTTTTTTTGAGACAAAGTCTCACTCTGTTGCCCAAACTAGAGTGCAGTGGTGTGATCCTGGCTTACTGCAACCTCAACCTCCCAGGTTCAAGTGATTCTCCTGCCTCAGCCTCCTAAGTAGGGGACTACAAGCATGCGCCACCATGCCCGGCTAAATTTTTGGTATTTTTAGTACAGACAGGGTTTCACTATGTTGGCTAGGCTGGTCTTGAACTCCTGACCTTGCGATCCACCCACCTCGGCCTCCCAAAATGCTGGGATTACAGGTGTGAGCCACCACACCCAGCCCTAAAGAGGTTTATTCTAAACAAAATATGAGTGACCAAGGCCTGAGGCACAGTCCCAAGAGGTACTGAGAATATGTGCCCAAGACGGTTGGGTTACAGCTTGGTTTTAATACAACTTAGGGAGACATAAGACATCAATCAGTACATCTGGGGCATACACTGGTTTGGTCTGGGAAGATGGGACAACTTGAAGAGGGTTTGGGGGAGAGCTTATAGGTCATAGGTGGATTAAAAGATTTCCTGATTGGCAATTGGTTGAGAGTGAAGTTACTATTTAAAGACCTGGAATAAACATAAAGGAATGCCTGGATTAAGATAAGGGGTGGTAGACACTAAGGTTCTTATATGTAGATGAAGTCTCCTAGGTGGCCATCCATAGAGACAATAGATGGCAAATGTTTCCTATTCTGACCTGTAAAAGGGGCTAGACTCTCAGTTAATCTCTTCAGAATTGGGAGGGCCTGGAAGGGGGAAGACACCCAGTTATGTTAATAGAGATTCTTTTTTTTTTTTTTTTGAGATGGAGTATTTTGCTCTTGCCCAGGCTGGAGTGCCATGGCACAATCTCGGCTCTCTGCAACCTCTGCCTCCTGGGTTCAAGTGATTCTCCTGCCTCAGCCTCCTGAGTAGCTGGGATTACGGGTGCCTATCACTATGCCTGGCTAAATTTTTAGTAGAGATGGGGTTTCACCACGTTGGCCAGGTTGGTCTCAAACTCCTGACCTCAGGTGATCCATGCGCCTTGGCCTCCCAAAGTGCTGGGATTGCAGGTGTCAGACACTGCACCCAGCCAACAGAGATGCTTAACAGATGGAATTACCTCTCTCCCCACAAAATGGCTTTGCAGGGACATTTCAAAATACAGCAAAGAAATATATTTTGAGGTAAAATACTTTGATTTCCTTTGTCATGTGATGTTATGCCAGAGTCCAGTTGGAAAGTAAACCATTTTATGTAAGTTTACATAAAACCCATCTGATAACTTTTTTTTTTTTTTGAGACAGTCTTGTTCTGTCACCCAGGCTGGAGTGCAGTGGCACTATCTTGGCTCACTGCAAACTCCGCCTCCTGTGTTCACGTGATTCTTCTGTCTCAGCCTCCTGAGTAGCTGGGATTACAGGTGCACATCACCACGCCTGGCTAATTTTTTGTGTATTTTTAGTAGAGACGGGTTTCACTATGTTGGTCAGACTGGTCTCGAAGTCCTGACCTCGCAATCCACCTGCCTCAGCCTCCCGAAGTACTGGGATTACAGGCGTGAGCCACCGCGCCCGGCCAATTTGATAACATTTTATGGTTTGTAGAGTGTGACTCCACAGGCCACTTAGATAGGAATTCGGGGAAGAGGGGGAAAAAAGTCAGAGTTTAGTCCTCAGTATCATGGAGACTTTAAGGTGTTTCCACAGTTCAAACAGTACCTTGCCAAAAGAAAGAAGAGACCAGGATAGATTATGAAAGAAGTAGATTTACACAGTGAAGTTACTCACTGGAAACACTGTGTATGGGTGTGGCATTAGATTGTGAAGTGAGTCTGGGTGCCGTGGCTCATACCAGCAATCCCACCATTTTGGGAGGCTAAGGCAGAAGGATCACTAGAGCCCAGATTTTGAGGCCAGCCTGGGCAATACAGTGAGCCCTCATCTCTACATATTAAAAAACAAACAAAAAACCCAAAAAAACCCTGCAAAGTCAATGCATAAGACAAAAACCCATTTAGGCTCAGCCATAAAAAGGAGTGAAGTAATGATTCACGTAACATATTGCTAAGTGTAGTAATATGTGTACAGAGGCCAAATATTATACAATTTCACTTATTTATTTATTTATTATTTATTTTTTGAGACGGAGTCTCGCTCTGTAGCCCAGGCTGGAGTGCAGTGGCCGGATCTCAGCTCACTGCAAGCTCCGCCTCCCGGGTTCACGCCATTCTCCGGCCTCAGCCTCCCGAGTAGCTGGGACTACAGGCGCTGCCACCTCGCCCGGCTATTTTTTGTATTTCTTAGTAGAGACGGGGTTTCACCGTGTTAGCCAGGATGGTCTCGATCTCCTGACCTCGTGATCCGCCCATCTCGGCCTCCCAAAGTGCTGGGATTACAGGCTTGAGCCACCGCGCCCGGCCTACAATTTCACTTATATGAAATGTCCAGAATAGGTAAATCTACATAGACAGAAAGTAGATTAGTGATTGCCAGGGGTTGGAGGGCGTGGCAGGGTGCAGAATGATAAAAGCCTGTACCAGGCTTCTTTTTGGGATGAACATGTTCTGGAATTAGATAGTAGTAATGGTCACACAACTTTTGGAATAAACTGAAAACCACTAAATTGTACACTTATTTGAAGGGGTAAATTTTATGGCATGTGAATTATATCTCAGAAAAATCTATTTTGGCTAAATTACCATTGAAATTCCTTTTCAAACAGTCTAATTCAGCTGTTTTTACTTTCAGCATAAAAACAAATGGCCTTTGAAACTTTTTAGAGAGTACTAGGATAAATAGTATGTTTGCATTTAGGAGTCCTGTTATAAAAAATGTAATCTTACAAATGAGTCACACTAAATTATACGAGATTCTCACATTATAAAGGGTAAGGAAGTGTATCAGAAGCATTGAAAAGGGATTGTGTGTACCCCTAGGGATTTAATATAATTTCCAGACATAGATAGTTTCAAGGAAATGAATTTCCAGACCCTTAACTAGCAGATGTTATCTCTTGCAAAAGGAAATTAAATTTTGGGACCCCAAACTGATTTAGCCAAAGGGAAAAGTCAAGCTGGGACTGGTCACGCAAATCTGCCTCCCCCTTTTGGTTCCTAAATAAGATGGCTGCAAGATGAAAAGCTACACGTCTCCCCCATATTTTGCCCGTAAGGAAATCCTTAGTGTGCTGTTAAAACTTCATGACAATGCAAATTGATAGCTTATCTTTACAGGTGGTCATCCCAGCCCACCAGACACAAATGCACATCTGATTGTTCCCCTACCCAATTTTGTCTGTTATGAAAAATGCAGATTCCCACATTTTTCCTCTGCCCCTTTTATGTCATCTTATGTAAAAAATGCAGGTTCACTGAGTCAGACAAAGGCAAGAATTACTATTTTCTCCTAACCCCCCCCCCCCCCCCCCCCCCCCCCGCTTACACGAAAACTGTGTGCTTCTCAATATCCCACCCATTCCCCTTTAAATTTGGAGCCCTCGGCCGGGCGCGGTGGCTCAAGCCTGTAATCCCAGCACTTTGGGAGGCCGAGACGGGCAGATCACGAGGTCAGGAGATCGAGACCATCCTGGCTAACACGGTGAAACCCCGTCTCTACTAAAAAAACCAAAAAACTAGCCGGACGAGGTGGCGGGCGCCTGTAGTCCCAGCTACTCGGGAGGCTGAGGCAGGAGAATGGCGTAAACCTGGGATGCGGAGCTTGCAGTGAGCTGAGATCCGGCCACTGCACTCCAGCCTGGGCGACAGAGCGAGACTCCGTCTCAAAAAAAAAAAAAAAAAAAAAAAAATTGGAGCCCTCAAAATCATCTTCGAAGAAAGGCATAGACCTGTTTCCCGGGATCGTCCTTAACTTTGGCAAATAAATCTCCTAAAGTGATGGACACTCTTATAAATTAATCTGTAGCCAATGCATGCCATCAATATGTCCTGCTGTGCCTTCCTACCTCCCATTTATCAACTTACATGAGAAGCCTACATCTTACTTGTCATAAATTATTACCATAGTTAAAAACCTGAGGGTGTCAAGAAGTCGAAAAATTTTGAGACATTGACGTTGGGGAAGACTCCTTTAATTAAAGCACCATAAAATCATGACAGAATGATACATTTTTCCCTGCCTTATTTTTTTGGCATGTAATACAGAAGGAACTCAAAACAATTGAGTGACACATTAGTAAAATTCTTTTCATTCACTTTTACTTACAAGGCACACACCATTGACCTTTCCGCCCCCTCCCCCCTTTAAAACAATGTTTGAAAAGTTAGGAATGAAAGCTGGTTCAGGACAGTACACAGTACATAAAAATACTGGCTCCCCCTACCTCCACCACCAGTAAGTAAAGATCCTAGCAGAGTGCAAAAAGGAAGAGGCTGAGGACGAACCACGCAGATCTGCAGGCACACCCTTTCCCTGCGACCAACAAAAATGCAGTAGCGCAATTACACGCTAGTGAATTGCAGCACTCACAACAGCACACATTCTGTTCAATGGTTAAGTCCACATAAAGTGACAGTCCGTTTCTAAAAGCATGGCTGTATTTAAAGGATACACGGTCTGTTCAGGTCCGCTTCAGGGAAACCCCAAGCACTTCCGAGAGATCCACACCCTCTCCCCGAGCAGGTGCAACTCACTGCTCCGCCGGCGAGCGTAGGAAGCAGCGCGACCAACCGCATCGGTTGCCCGCAACAGCCAGCGAGAGAGCCTTAGGGACGTCAAAAAGGCCGGGCCTGCGTGGAAAACGAGCGTGCGCCTCCATCACTGCGACAGCACCCGTCCCGAGGTTCCGCGGGCCGCTAGCAGGTCGCTCTCAGCTCCGCTCTGCCAAGGGCGAGCTAGAGAACCTGGCCTAGAGTTGCCCACCTCCCTCTGCCCCCGGCCCCGCCCACCGCACTTGTAGCCCCGCCCCGCCCAGTGGGTGGGGAGCTTCCGTCACAGCACTTCCGGCTCCAGCCTCCCAACCGGCCTCCGTCGCTCTCCACTTCCCTCTTCTCAGCTCTCTTCCCTTGCCCCTACTGTCTCCTTTAACAGTCACGTGAGGGATGCGCGCGGGGGCAGCTGGGAGTAGTACTGCCGGTTGGTCAGCGTTCGGCCTCAACATGGCGGTTCCGGCCGGGCAGTGACCAAGGTTTTGCCGTCCGAAGGACTAAGTGGTGACTCTCGGCGTCTCCACCTATCGGGGTGGAATGCGAGCACGCGGAGACGAGCGCTGAGGATCGGCGGTGACGGGAAGGGGGGGTTCAGTGGATTGTGCCCCAGAAACCGAAGCGGCGGCGCCTGTTCCTTCTACTTGTCTCTAGGCTCCAGTGCGTTCGGGGCCCCGCCCGGCCGGGCCAGGCCGGCGGGCGGCGGCGGTAGCTGCTGCAGCCGCAGGATCACCTCTCAGGGTGGGCCGGAGGGCCGGCGCCGCCGCTGCCTCTGCCGCGGCGATGGCCCAGTGTGTACAATCAGTGCAGGAGCTAATCCCGGACTCCTTCGTCCCCTGTGTCGCTGCGCTGTGCAGCGACGAAGCCGAGCGGCTCACTCGTCTCAATCACCTCAGCTTCGCGGAGCTGCTTAAGCCCTTCTCCCGCCTCACTTCCGAGGGTATGTGGTATCCTCCCTTTTCCAGTGGGCTCTCGCAAAGCCGTGATGGGAGAAGGAAGTTGCGGGCGTGCAGGGGAGAGAAGGGCAGTGTTTACGTACCGGAGCCGGTACCGTGGCGTCTGGGACTGTGGCCCCGCGGTGCTTCGGGGGGGCCATGAGGTTGTCAAGACAACGCAGTCCTAAGCTCCAGTATTTCTGGGCACTTTCTTTCTTCCTCGGACAACCTAGGTCGTTAAGTAATTGGTTCAAAGATAAACGTGAGTCTAGGAGAACGGCATTGATACTGTTCTCCACGGCCATAGCGAAGGAATTAGGCAGTTGCAAAGCAGCTAAAGTAGGAAAATGTTGCCTCTTAGACCGACAGGGTCTGAGTAAGGAAGACCTGTCATCCTCCCTTGGATGTTAAACTGGACTTGCAAAGTAGTTCTGGATGTTGTTACGTTCTTGTAGCGTTGAGGGTCATCTCTGAACTACCGTTTAGCTGTTTTACTAAGATATTCTTAGCTCTACGGTATTTTGCTTACCTCTCAAGAAAATTAAAAGTATTATATGACGAATAAAACTTGAAACAGCTTTTTGCCCGAAGGAAAAGGAAGCAAGCCCAAGTTGTGGTTCATTTGACCTAGATATTTGGAGTTATCTATACTTATAGGGATGGAAGTGTCTTCTCTTGTTAAGGAACGTATTGTTAAGGAGCTACCCGTTTTCTCCAGATTTGGATTTTTTTTATTAGGAGAAAATAATGTAGTAAAGCTTCAAACGTGTTTTAGCCAGTATCTTGCAAACAACAAAGTCCAAGTAAAGTTTTTTTTATTAAGGTCGGTGAGAACTGAAGGGTTTCATTATAAGTCTGTGTCAGGCAAACGACTGTGATGTTTATTAGCTTAATATGACTTATCCACAAAAAAAAATTAGTGCTGTACCATAAATTCATGTATTTTTGAGCTACCGTGTTTTGTGGGAGAATAATTCCATTACAAATTAGCTTTTGTTTTTAGCAGAGAGAGGGAGCCGTTCAAAAAAACAAAGTTTGGAAACTTTTGGATTTTCTTTAGCCTGTATCAGTCTCAGTTCCTTCAATGTTGGACGTAACAAGAACAACAACATGCCCTACGTTTTTAATTTTTTTAAAAATTATTTGCTTATTTATTTATTTATTTATTTGAGACGGAGTTTCGCTCTTGTTGCCCAGGCCGGAGTGCAATGGCGTGATCTCGGCTCACCACCACCTCCGCCTCCCAGGTTCAAGCGATTCTCCTGCCTCAGCTTTCTGAGTAGCTGAGATTACAGGAATGTGCCACCACGCCCGGATAATTTTTGTATTTTTAGTAGAGAACGGGGTTTCTCCATGTTGGTCAGGTTGGTCTCAAACTCCAGATCTCAGGTGATCTGCCCGCCTCAGCCTCCCAAAGTGCTGGGATTACAGGCATGAGGCACCGCGCCTGGCCTTGAATTCCTAAAAAAAACACAAACACTTGAGCTAGTTTGACTTTTATATATATACTCTTTCCTACTTTGTTAATAAGTAATAATAATGCTAATACTTGATACTTGCTTCGTGTAACTTTTTTAGTCCTCATTGAATCCTGTGTTATTGCAATTTTAAATTTGGACCTTCAAGCATGGAAGTGTTAATTTGTTCACAGTTTTGCATCAGGGAAAGATTTGAAACAGGCAGGCAGTGTGACTCAAGACATTGTGTTCTTAATCATCTTATCTCCTGACAATGTTTAGAATTACGTATTTACACCACAGAGCAGTGATGTCTAATTGAAATATAATGTGAGTCACAAGTATAATTAAAAATTTTTGGCCGGGCGCAGTGGCTCACGCCTGTAATCCCAGCACTCTGGGAGGTCGAGGCAGGTGCATCATGAGGTCAAGAGATGGAGACCATCCTGGTTAACATGGTGAAACCCCGTCTCTACTAAAAACAGAAAAATTAGCTGGGCATGGTGGTGGGCGCCTGTAGTCCCAGCTACTCAGAGAGGCTGAGGCAGGAGAATCACTTGAACCTGGGACTGGGAGGTTGCAGTGAGCCGAGATGGCGCCACTGCACTCTAGCCTAGCACAGAGTGAGACCCCATCTCAAAAACAAAAACAAAAAAATTTTAGGGCCGGGCGCGGTGGCTCAAGCCTGTAATCCCAGCACTTTGGGAGGCCGAGACGGGCGGATCACGAGGTCAGGAGATCGAGACCATCCTGGCTAACACAGTGAAACCCCGTCTCTACTAAAAATACAAAAAATTAGCCGGGCGTGGTGGCGGCGCCTGTAGTCCCAGCTACGCGGGAGGCTGAGGCAGGAGAATGGCGGGAACCCGGGAGGCGGAGCTTGCAGTGAGCCGAGATGGCGCCACTGCACTCCAGCCTGGGCGACAGAGCGAGACTCCGCCTCAAAAAAAAAAAAAAAAAAAAAAAAATTTTAGTAGCTACATTAAAAAAGTAAAAAGAAACAAGTGAAATTAGTTTTTTTTTTCTTTTTCTTTTGGAGATGGAGTCTTGCCCTGTTGCCCAGGCTGGAGTGCAGTGGCACAATCTCGACTCACTACAACCTCTGCCTCCCGGGTTTAAGCAATTTTCCTGCCTCAGCCTCCCGAGTAGCTGGGATTACAGGCGCCTGCGGCTTATTTTTGTATTTTTAGTAGAGATGGGGTTTCACCATGTTGGCCAGGCTGGTCTCAAACTCCTGACCTCGTGATCCGCCCACCTCGGCCTCCCAAAGTGCTGTGATTACAGGCGTGAGCCATCGTGCCCGGAGGAAATTAAACTCAGTATTTCCAAAATGTTACTATTTCAATGTGTAATCAATGTGAAAAACATTCATGAGATATTTTACATTCTTTCTTATTGCTTGGTCTTTGAAATTTGGTGTGCCTTTTATGCTTAACATCTCAATTTGTACTAGACACATTTCAGGTACTCAGTAGCCATATGCAGCTGGTACCTACTGTATTGGACAGGCTCATTGTCAGTACACTTCTGATTTCCTTCAGGAAACTGGGGAAGATTAGGGAAGGAGTTTTTTTTTGTTTGTTTGTTTTTTGTTTTGAGACAAGGTCGTGCTCTGTTACCCAGGCTGGGAGGGCTGGAGTGCAGTTGTACCACTGCAGCTCACTCACTCACTGCGTCTCAACCTCCCAGGTTCTAGCTATCCTCTTGTCTCAATCTCCCAAGTAGCTAGGACTACAGGCACATCATGCCATCATGCCTGGCTAATTTTTTTTTTTTGAGACAGAGTTTCGCTCCTGCTGCCCAGGCTGGAGGGCAATGGCACAATCTCGGCTCACTGCAACCTCTGCCTCCCGGGTTCAAGAGATTCTCCTGCCTCAGCCTCCTGAGTAGCTGGGATTACAGGCATGTGCCGCCTGGCTAATTTTTAAATTTTTTGTAGAGATGGGGTTTCTCCGTGTTGCCCAGGCTCGTCTCAAACCACTGCGCCCGGCCTAGTGAAGGAGTATAATGAGTTGGACGTTAGTGGATAGGTAGACAGTTGGTAGAAAGCAAGAGGGCAGTCATTCCCTATGAAGGAGTGGTATGAAGTTAGAATGGTACGGACAAAAGGTCTAAATTATGACTGAATGGTTGGGGAACAGGGAGGAAACTCTCCTTACTGGGGTACACAGTAGTAAGAGAGGATGCTTAGATAAAGAGAGGCGCTTGAATTCTAGGAAAGGGATTTGAGATTTTGTATCTGATGGTAAGTGTGAGTAGATTCTTGAGGGTCTGAAACATTTGGACACTAATGAGTTGAGAGTTTTGGAGATAAGTGAGTTGTGTGGTTTATAAGGATAGATATAAGTAGATGCAAGTTTTACGTTTCAAGATGATCATGGACTATAGTGGTAGCATTAGAAATTTGGCAAAAAGGACTTAATTTTTCTTGGTTTTAGTTTTTTGCTGGTAAATACATTTTAGAATTCTTTGCCATCCGGAACAGGCTGCTTTTTGTCTCAAGTGTGGGGATTTTTCAAAGACAGTCTTTTTTTTTTTTTTTTTTTTGCGACGGAGTCTCGTTCTGTCACTGGGCTGGAGTGCAGTGGGGAGATCTTGGCTCACTGCAGCCTCCGTTTCCCGGTTTCAAGTGATTCTCCTGCCTCAGCCTCCCTAGTAGCTGGGACTACAGGCTCGCACCATCATGCTCAGCTAATTTTTGGATTTTTGGTAGAAATGGGGTTTCACCATTTTGGCCAGAATTATCTCTATCTCTTGACCTCGTGATCTGCCCGCCTCGGCCTCCCAAAGTGCTGGGATTACAGGCATGAGCCACCAAGCCAGGCAACAGCTTTTCTTTAGGAAGTGAGGCATGAAAGTATCATTTCAGGCAATGTAATTTAAGAATACAACTGACTAAAACAAGCTAACGTTTCCTTAGAGGGAGAAAACAAGTAAGAAGACTCAATTTCTGGCCTGTAGGTATGCCTTTACTTAGGGTAAAACTTTGCCTTGACTACGGAGATATCAAGTACAGTGCCAGGTATTGTCAGGAGACTTGTTTTTAGATTTTAGTAGAAAACACATGGTTTAAAGCTATACTGAAGAGAGGGTTGATAGAAGAGATTTGAGAGGGTTGATAAAAGAGATTTGAGTACTATTTATGTGTAGTGCCTTCAAAATACAGTTTAGACTTTTGATGTATTACACAATGGAGAGCCATTTTGGGTTCCTTAGAGACATTTTAAAACTTGAAGAGTATTAAATTATGTTAAAATTAAATTAAAATATATAATTAAATTTATTATATGTATTTTCTGTGATTGTTATGCTTGATGTGTGTTTGAGACTTAACGTAGTCATTATTTGACACAAACTTTGAGATCCTAATACTCGAAAAATTTCCACTGGCCATGTTTCAAAGAGTCGTGGTATTAATCAAGCAAAAAACAACAAAAAATTAAAATTCGGCTTTATTGTTTTTGCTTAGTGATAGTTCTTTGATGGTTCTAAACAATGTTGCAATATATCATTTAGATGTTCTATAAGTTTTAAGAAAATGTCACTTA